CCCCCCCCGTTTGGAGATAAGAGTCTCATGGACTTTTCTGCCTTGGCTGGCTTTGCACTGTGATTCTTAGATCTTCCTGAGTAGGTAGGATTACATGTGTGAGCCACTGGTGCCATACTCTTGAAGTCTTCTCACCTTCTTCCCCCATTGCACAGGCTCTGTAAAAAGGTAGTTTCTCTGGGTTCTGTGTTGTTGTGTTTTGTTTTGCTTTGTTTTTTGTCAGTCATGGGGCTTGAACTCTGGGTCTGAGTGCTGTCCCTCAGCTCTTCAATTCAAGTTGAGTGCTCTACCACAACGCCACTTCTAGTTTTCTGGGGGTTTATTGGAGATAAGAGTTTCACGGCCTTCCCTGCCCGGGCTGGCTTTGAACCGCAATCCTCAGATCTCAGCCTCCTGAGTAGCTAGGATTACAGGCATGAGCCACCAGCACCCGGCTTTAATGCCAATTTTTATGTACTGATATAATTCAAGATCACATGCCATTATGCTTATATGTTCTAGAAATGAATAGATCAGTTAAAAATATTTTCAGAACAGAACCACAGAATATTATATGTTATATAGGTAGGCTAGACTATAACCCTTTATGACATTTCATTTACATATCACCTCTACTGACTAAATGATTCCTTCTATGTAGCGTTACTGGACCATTTCTCCCTAGCTTCTCCATTTGCTGTTAGGCCTCTGATTGAAGGGTTTTCTTTTTTTTTTTTAGGTTTTGGGGAACCAAAACCTGTTGTGATTTCTGCTACCAAGTCCTAAGATCCATTAACATTTTTTTAAAAATTGAGTTGAGTACAGGGGGAGGAGCGACTTCAGATCAGTGCAGAGACTTAGGGTGTCAATCTATCTGGTGATTACAGCCATTAATATGAGATATACATAGAAGTAACTTATCATTAGGGAGCAGAAGGGAGCAATAAAACATTCCATCTGTAAAACAGACATCCATCTCATCTCCAAGTCTTTAAACTTAGAGTGTCCAAGCAGCACTAATTTAAACATACTTTGGGTAGTAACTTTTACCTCTGTCGACCTCTACTGTTTGACCTTAACTTGGGCTCAGCCGTTAGTGTCCCAGGGCACTTTGAGCTGGAATGCCAAGCTCTTTAACCCTTTTAGATCTCACAACTTGGCATCAGAGGCCCACATGGTATTAATGGCTAATTGAAGCCATATGTTTGAAGAGTTGGTAAATTCTGATTCAGGAGCCCAATGTATGGTGATGTCTTTTGGGTAGCTTTGGAACAATTATATTTTCCTTCATCCCCTGGGGAGACCAAACTGGATATTATCTGATATTAGACTGATCAGATATGTTTATCCAGGGCCCTTCAAGCCTTTTCTTACCAAATATTTCAACTCAAGTCTTTATATCAATGGACAAGTCCCACTTCTGAATTGTTACATATCACAGTACAATGTAAGTACAGTGGTTTACCCAGCATTGGGACCTCCCCCTACCCCCCGACCCCCAACCAAGCAGAGGCTTGCACTGTGCAGGAGGCACTAGCAGGCGCCATTATCAATACAAAACAAAGATATTGCATAATTTCCTGTCCATTGTCCTTTAAACTTTTTTTTTGGTCCAGTTGTGGGGCTTGAACTCTGGGCCTGGGTGCTGTCCCTCAGCTCTTCAGCTCAAGGCCAGTGCTCTACCACTTGAGCCACAGCGCCACTTCCGGCTTTTTTTCTTTTTGCTTATGTGGTGCTGAGGAATCGAACCCAGGGCCTCATGCATGCAAGGCAAGTGCTCTACCACTGAGCCACCTTCCCAGCCCCTAAACTTACTTACTTTCTTTTTTTTTTTTTTGGCTGGTCCTGGGGCTTGAGCTCAGGGCTTAGGTACTGTACCTGAACCTCTTTTTGGTCAAGGCTAGTGCTCTGCCATTTGAGCCACAATGCCACTTCCAGCTTTTTTGAGTAGTTTATTGGAGATGAGTTTCACAGGGACTTTTTTTCCATGGGCTGGCTTTGAACTGTGACCCACAGATCTCACCCTCCTGAGTAGCTAGGATTACAGGCCTGAGCCACGCAGGTGCCTGGCTTCCTTTAGACATCTTTCAGCTTCTTGAGAAAGCTTCTTCTGTCTCCAGGTGGGAATGGTTGCTGTTCTGTTGTGCTGTTCTTCCGGTATTTCAGTCATCATCATCTTGAAGGTTTCCTCCAGAGGCTCCTTGATGTTGGATGATCTTTTCTTCATTCCTGGGTTTTTGTTTCTGGGCTGGTAGCCAGACGTCTGCAGAACCTGTGGAGACACAAGCATAACCACAGCCCCACACTTTGACAGTTCTGGGTTTCCGGTTATTGTCATCCTTTCACCATATAGGCTGACATGAAGACTGCAATTTTTTAAGATCCTTCCACTGTTTATCTGCCTGATGGTCCTGAATTGTGGTCCTAGCCTGCATTTCCAGGTCACAAACTCTTCCATGTTCTTCAGTTGACTTTTCTAAATACTTCGGTTCGCTGGTTGTTTGAGCCCCACTCTGGGTGTCACTTGTTGCTAAACACAACCAGAAACAGTACAACGACGGGATGAAGAAATTTCTAAGCTGTAGCATTGCTCTTCTGGGGAATTCATAGTACAGCCTGTACCAGTCCTCACTCTAGTATTGATTGCTGAGTTTTCCTACCCAAGGAAGTTGACTTAAAGATTGTTGTGGAAGCTTGCTGTACCTCCTTCATCCTTTACTGTTTTCATTACAACAGTCTGTCTCTGCTTTAAAACAATTGTTAATGGCTTCTGAGTCTTCCATGGAACTTAGTGTAATGATTCTCAATTGAGTCATTCTTTCAGCTCTGGCCTCCTTATAATGCAGGTGACAGCTTCCTTTTTGAAAAGCTGGGAAATACAGGGACAAGGCTAGCTTCACCCTTCCTGCTGGGGTTCAGACCTTGCTACTTATGGTATCTTAGACACTTGAAATTGAAAATCCACAACAGACTCAGGATCTTCTTGGGTTTTTTTTTTTCCTGGGACTTCTTTAGGTGCTGGGATTGAATGCAAGGTTTTGTGCACATAAGGCAAACACAGTATCTTCAGCCTTACTTGGCTTCTTTAAAGCCCTCATAGCCCTCATGGTTTGGAGATCTTGATGGGTTATGTAACATTGCAGATTCTGATTCCTGTTGGTCTTTTCTGTGTCAATATGGGTATTATTTCCTTGAATTTTTCTATCCCACTATCCATTTATCTAAATGACTCTCTATATATTTAATTTGTGGTACTGGGGTTTTGAACTCAAGGACAGGTACTTTTGTCCTTTGAATCATATCTCAGCCTTTTTTTGTTTGCTTTAGTTTTCAGATAGGATCTCACGCTTTTTTCCTGGAATTGCTTTGGATCGCAGTCATTCTACCTATGCTGGCATAGCTGGGATTACATTCATACACCATGTACCCTTCTCTGTTTTTGTGAGATAGAGGTTGGCCTTGAACTGTGGTCCTTTTATTTCTGCCTCCCTTTCCACATTTTGATGTAGTGACCTTATTCTCAGCATATTCTCAGACCTTTCCTGCTGTTGTCACCTCTTGTGGGTGAGTCCTCCGTGGCAACTTTCTCACCCTCAACCATGTCAGACCCTCAGTTTCTATGATACTTCTGTTTTCCATCTCACTTTGCTTCCTTGGTTGTTGAGAAGTGTGCCAAGCCTCTGTTAGCTCTCCTAGTTTTCTAGGACAGTCCAGAGGGCCCTGTAACACCTGCAAGAGGCTTGGTTTTTACTTTTTTAAAAAAATTAATATTTTTGTTGCTATTATAAAGATGTACAGTGGGGTTCAGTTACACAAGTAGGGTAAAGAGTACATTTCTTGTTGGAAAATGTTACCCTTCCTTCACTCTCTTCTAGTTTTTTCTCCTATCCCCACCCACAAGTTGAATAGTTTATTTAATTTTTTTATTAGATAGTTGCATGAAGAGATGTTCAGTTCCATGTTAGATTATGAATATAAGGCCTCTTGGTCAATGTCACCCTTTCTGTCATTTTTCTCTCATCTTTTTTCTGGTTTTATTCTTGCTGCAATGAACCAGTATGTCTGGGGCATGTTTTACATACAGGCCTGTATCTGTTGGGAAATTCCCCAAGATTTCTAGGTGGGCATATGCTGGTGTTGGGGGAATTGGTCAGGAGTTAATGGTCACATTTGGCTTTAAGGAGTAATAATACTTGTAACAAGGAAAAGAGTTCTGGGGTTGGGAAGGTGGCTCAGTGGTAGAGCACTTGCCTTGCATGCATGAGGCCCTGGGTTCGATTCCTCAGCACCACATAAGCAAAAAGAAAAAA